TAATCAAAGATCTCGTAGCTGGTAGTGGAAGATCGGTTCCTACTAACAGACTAGAAAAGCAGGCAGTTCAAGAAACATCAGCTCGAATTGCAGATTTACGACTTGCAAATGGTCAGAAAAATATTCTGTAATAGCAGAACTACGTTTCTTGCGAACCTGCTCAACAATCAGATGCAACCTGATCGAACTTGATAGGGATCGAGCACTGAATCACACGAGCTGGTATATTAGAATCTGCTGTCTTTTTATCTCATATTCCCAATAAAGAGAAACAATCTCTCAATAAGACCCTTTCTGATCTCATGCATCTTGCTGCTGTTGTCTTTATAAAGTCATAATTTGAAGGAATAACAAAATTATAGGCAATCTTTTTGTAGTTTGTCTTTTAATTCTGTTAGTCAGAATTTAAGAATGAACAAAATATAATAATGCCTTTGTATATTTTTTCTGATTTTCAAACAGAACACATAAATTGGGTTAATTGAAACTAAAATAGCAAATGCAGCCAATAATAATCCAATTCTTTCTGCTTAATTAGCTTAGAAAAAGAAAAACTAAGCAAATAACAATAAGAACACTATCGAGCATAAACTTCAAAATGCTCCACCATTTTCACCGAACCTGCAACGTGATCGTAAGTTCAGCTCGTCGTGACTGATCTGGTCCGGCGCCTGGCCATGCTCAATTTAGTCAAACATATACATATCAAGCACAAACACAAACTTTTTCCACTCCTGTTCTATTCAGTAATTACCCCTTCCCACTGTTTCAAACCCTACAATTTAATCTCTTTCTTTTTATTATAATTTAATTCATAACGTTTAACAAAACTCCATAAACAAAATAGATCTCTTCCTTTGGACAAACCCAAGTAGAAAAACCATAAACTTTACAAACTAAAAGTTTAGTAGTTCAACCTTTTTTAAAGGGTGTGGAGTTTTAACTATGAATTATACGCCTTTTTGTTATATGAGTAGTTATTCATATCAGCTTTATCGGCTTGCTATGAAACTTGAAATACCAAACATTCTATCTTAATCCAAACTACACTAATTTTAGATGGCTGACTTCTTTTGAAACTCAGTTAAGATAACACACACACACACATATATATATATACACACAGACACACACACACACACACACACACGGAATAGATAATTATTGTGGTGTCAACCAGCATATAACTATATCTGTTTATATTTTTCCATTTATCATATGCAAATATTTTCTCACCCAAAAAAAAACCATCCAGTCTATTTTTTTTTAATGTGTCTATAATTATTATTTTTAATTAAAACAGAAAATACCTGCTTAATTTGGAAATTGTTAGAGGACGTCGAGGTGTTCGTTCGAGAGAGAGAGAGGAAAAGAAACAACTGTATAGGATTGGTAATTAGGTAAAAAAATTTCATTAGGGGAGGAAGCTTTTTTTAGAGGAAGAGACATGTGATCGAGAAAAGAAAAGAAAAAGAAAGAACACGAAGAAGAAGAAGAAGAAGAAGAAAGAAAACGAAAGAGAAAACACCAAACACCCGCAGGTTTTTTAATTTCATTTTTCTCATTTGTTCTTGTTCTTTTTTTTGTTTTTGTCTATTTTCTGAGTTTTTTTTTTTTCTTTTTTGAATTTTTGGTCGTAGAAAATTTTTATCATGTGGGTGTTTGGCGATGCATGAAAAATAAGGATCCTTGTAAAAGGATTCTGAAAGAGAAGATGAGCAAAAAGAAGAACAATCAGGTTTATTGTGCTTCCTCTCAAGAAATGGCTATGTCCCCTCCAATTCCCAAATATCAACCTAAGAGGCTTTACAGACTTTGGAAGGGTAACAATGTAATTTCCTCTTCGTCTTCCTCTTCCTCTTCTTCCCTTTCGTAATTCCTTCGTTTATATTACTCTCTAAGTTTTTCTAGATTTAATTTGATTCGACATATATATATATATATATATCTATGTGATCAAACCCTTTTCTAAATTATATATACACACCTATATTTGTATCTTCTATCGTGTTAGCATGAACAAGATTGATTCTTTTATTTATTGAATTCTTTCTTTATGTTAGGCATGTAATCACGTATGAACAAATGGTGGAGAAATATTTTCTGTAAATCAAATTAATTAAAAGGGTTTTCAATTTAATTAATACTAAATATACCCAAATGGATAACAAATATATATATATATATATATATATATTATATTTTATTAATATTGTATAGGTGTAATGAATATACATTGAAATACTTTGTGGGTGGCGGTGAAAAAATTTACAGAAATTTTGTTGCGGCGGAAGACTGATATTCGGGCCCGATGCGACGTCGCTTTTCTTGACAACATTTCTAATCGGATGTCCCGCATTAACATTCTGCACCAACATGTTGTTGACGCTTCCAAAAAGTGATCCTCTTTTTCACTATCCTGTGCTCTTCGGAGGTCTCCTCCTCACTTTTTTGGTCAGTATTTATACGTCTGTACATACATAAACACATACATATATATACATGCATGCTTAAATACATATATTTGTATATATATATCTGCAGGATTTTGGTTTTCTGTTCTTGACATCGTGTAGAGACCCAGGAATTGTACCGAGAAACTTGTACCCACCTGAGTCGGAAGAATTCGACGTGACCAACACGTCCATGGAGTGGGTCAGCAACAAATCTTGCAGTTTGAAAATACCTCGTACCAAAGACGTTTTAGTAAACGGTCACACCGTTAAGGTTAAGTTTTGCGACACGTGTCTGTTGTACCGTCCTCCACGTGCCTCCCATTGCTCCATTTGCAACAACTGCGTCCAACGTTTTGACCACCACTGTCCCTGGGTCGGACAATGTATCGGACTTGTAAGCCCCCTTATTCATTTTTATTTATAATTAAGTAATTATAAAGAATAATAATTTTGTGGGTGTGTTTGGTTACAGAGGAATTACCCATTCTTCATCTGTTTTATATCGACGTCAACGATGCTGTGCGTATACGTGTTTGTGTTTTCGTGGATAAACATAATCCGGATACCGGGAGCTGTTTGGAGCACCATGTCCCGGGATATCGTCTCCGTCATTCTCATTGTTTACTGCTTCATTGCTGTCTGGTTCGTTGGCGGCCTGACCCTCTTCCATTTTTATCTCATTTGCACCAACCAGGTCACTCTACTCCTTTCTTTATAATAATAATCGAATTTACGTACGTAATAAAATACCATATTACGTTAATTAATTAATATTTATTTCAATAATTCTTTGTAATACATTATAAATTCTTATTTAAAATTGTATCCTGTTTGTATTATTAACAGAATTAGATGAATTTGTGCATGAATTACAGACAACTTACGAGAATTTCCGATATCGGTACGACAAGAAGGAGAACCCGTACAGCAGAGGCTTAATAAACAACTTCAAAGAGCTCTTCTTCTTCAAGATTCCACCATCGCTGATTCATCCAAGACAATGGGTTTCAGAAGAGGAAGAAATGATGATGGCCGGCGGGTCCTCCCGAGCAACTTCGAAGCTCGACAGAGGGTTCGGATCCAAAGAGTCAATGGTCTTCTCCGACATGGAAATGGGTCACAGCATTGCTAGGGTTACAGTCAAAGACGGAACAGTAATGCAGTTGCCAAGTATACTTAAGAACTTGGATTACAGTGGAGTTGGCGATGAAGGAAGCTTGAAGGGATCAAAAGATTTCGACCATGATGGTCAACATCATGTCAGCCAACGGGAGCAAAGCGGTGATGATCATCAAGATCGCGCACCAGTTGATAATTTTTTCTTGGCTGATTCCGCTCAACAACAAGTACAACAACAGTATTCACAGGTGTTCATGAACCCTAACATTAACGTTGTTGGATGTAAAAGTTCTATAGATCAAAAGATAAGGACCTAGCTAGTTTGCTAGTATTTAATATTGATTTGCTTCTACTGCTGTTGGATCTACACTTATATATAAATATCCTTTTTCAACCATTCAAAAAAGATAAATGTTCATTCTTCTGTTTTTTCCTCCCTAATTTTGCTAATTCTTGTATAAATTATTGTGTATATAACTACGCTTGAATTCCTAGATCGTAATTTTTATTTTATATTATTATTTTTTATTATTTTTTTAATAATTTAAAATATAAATTTATCGATCGTTCTTCTATAAATTTTAAAAAATATATATTTTTTATAAAAATATATATTCGATCAATAAGGTAATAAAAAAAAAACCCAAATTTATAATTTTTTATAGATGAAAAACTTAATGATTATTCAATTAAGCATCGGTTGGTAATTTAAAATAATTTTTTTTCTAAATTTATTGGTTAATTTAGTAATTTTGTAGTTTGATTATATGGATGCTATACACCTAATTTCCAATTATATAATACACAAAACTATTATTTTTTACCCTTTTTTTTTGTTCATTTAGGTTAATAAAAAATAATACTTTAAATAATAATAATAATAAGCCTATCTGTAAATTTGAACATTGACGCGTTTTGTCAACAAACTTATTTTTCGAGCTTAAATTAGTTTCTCTAATCGTATTTTTTACTCGAGATGTAAGAAAAAGATAGATAAGTTTATCTTTTTATAATTATTATCTTATCGAAATTTTATTACCTCTGGTGAAATTAATTTCAAAATCAAATACCAAAATTTATCACGCCACATCATCAAATATCCGTGACTATTGAGTGTAATCTTTTTCATTAATGACTAAGTGTGTTCTTAGTAATTTCATAATTAATATATACGTGCATACAATCATAGCATATTAAAAGTAACACTTAAAATAATGTTACACATAAAAAAAAAATAGTATGATATAAAATATAATCTTTTATCATTTAGGTAGCATTGGCTACAATTAATTGGTAATAATGAATCTCAAAAACTTGTCACCCACCATCAACCTCACCACTCAATTTATTGTCAACATAAAACTTTTAATTTATTTAGGAGGTAGGTGTAAATTTAATTCCATGTTAAATATAAAATAAAATTGTTATTATTAAATATATATTAAAAATAAATATTTTTAAATAAAAAATTCATATATTTTGTTAATAAATTAGATAATACTTATAATAATATAATTTTTTTTTTAGTAAAAATAGATCTTATATAAATTTTAAATAATAAATTATATTCTCATATAAAATATAAAGTCAACAAAGAATAATTTGATAAGATTTTATATTTATTAAAGTTAAATCCAATTCTTCTTATAAAAAAAAGAAATAATTATAAATAATTACTTTCCTTTTTTTTGAAAAATCATTAATTACTTTTTTATATAATTCAAATTTTATTTTATTGGTAAAAATATTAAAAACAAATTATGCAAAAATTTTGAAATAATATTTTTATGTTCATTTTAAATATAAGATGAATTAAAATTAATGTATTATAAAATGTTAAAATTTAATTATTTTAAAATATTTATATTTGGTCTCATGATAATTTAGAGAACTACAAATGTTATGAAAAGACGTCAAACAAGGTAGAAAGCTAGAAGTCAAGAACAGCGAAGCAAAGAAGAAAATATGGTGGCATATTCGTAAATAAGAGATTTACGAGGCAGTTAATGGGAGTCTCGAAGTCACCGTCTGAAAGTGCCATTGCCGCGCGTAAGTGCAGGGGAAGAAATATTGAAACATTCGCCCGACGCCATTGTTGCCAGCATTTGCGAGATATACAAATTTTGTTTAATTATATATTTCCGGAGAAAGAGAATCAAACGACAGAGAAGATATTGTTGTCTTGTTTGGATTCGTCCCTGCAAACAAAACTCTTTCTTCTCAGCTCTGTTGTGCGAGGTAGAGAGAGAGGGCAGCTGGTTCTGATCCAGAGACCTCTCTCTCTCTCTTCATTTTTCTCTCTGTCTATCTCTAGCTATCTTTCTCTCTGTTTGTAACTCGCTTATTCGTATTGGAACAGCCAGAAAAAGCGAATAGGGTTTCTATCACTATCAGTTTGTGATTTGGGTTTTGATCACATACGATTTTTTATTAGTGGGTAGGAATCCAAATTAGATTCTTTCTTTCTTTCTTTCTTTCTTTCTTTTTTTCTTTCTTTCTTTCTTCTTCGCATTGTTATGGCACAGAATAACAATAAACCCAAGAGGCTCTACCAAACTTGGAGAGGCAACAACGTGAGTTTTCTCTCTCTCTATCTGTCAAGCCATTGATTTTTATAGTTTATGGATTTTGGTCATTGCCTTGATCATATACGGGCCTGAGTATAAGCAATCTTCTTCAAAATGTATTTTGGATTGAAGTTCTGTTCTTCCTCATTTTTTTTTTTCCATCCTCGATCATGGTTCTCTGTCTCTCCCTTTCTTAATCTGGGTTACTGCTATTAATTTTCTAGTTTTGGTTAAATCAAGAGGAGTTGTTTGCTTTGTTGGTAACTTTTCCTGAGCCGTGAAGTTGTGTGGACTTAATGCTTTTGTGCTTTATTTCCGTTCTGATCTCAGTGATCTCTGTTGGACTCCTCTGTAATTCTTGACTGCCAAACACGGCACAAGACTCCAAAATCCAAAACCCACTGTTTTGTTTATGGTTCAGGTCATACACCTTCACCTATTAAAAAAGAATAACGTCCAGCAGATTACCCAAGTTAGTTTTTCAATTGTCCAGTTCACCTTTGTCTTGATTTTTAAGATATTCCAAAAATTTGCTTTCTATAATTCACTGGAAATTCATAAGTTTACAGCTGTTTTATGGACAACCATATTTGAGTAAGTAGCATGATTAACTATTGAATTTTCTTTTTAGAGATGATAGGGGTGAAATACAATTGCCCCCAATAAGATTTTATGGACAGCTTTCCGTGTGTTGTAGTTTTAGTCTCTTGTTTTCATGTGAATCAGATTGATTAGGGTTTTGAGTTGTAACATTGTGTTGGAACAGATTAATTGCAACAAATTTAAGCAGAAAACTGGTTGGTTTTGGAGCATATTGATTAGTCTGGTGGATTCATTATATTTTTCTTCCAATAGAAAATACTTTTCTTGTAGCTTTTGTTGTTTGCTTATCTCTCAAGTTGTTTGCATTGCTAAAGTTCAAGAACTTGCTTATTGTTTAATTACATACACCAGCTGCTTGTAATATATATATTTCGTAAAACTCTGCTACTACTATAACATGCTTGCATTGATTGAGTTTTACTGTCTCTTTTGTTGGTTTATCAGAGATTTTTCTGTGGTGGAAGATTGATATTTGGCCCTGATGTGGCATCATTGTTTCTATCGGTATTTCTGATTGCTGGCCCCGCCATTACTTTCTGTATAAATATGTACACTAAGATCAAAGGTGATACCAGCCATGCTGATGATTCTTATCCAATTTTGGTTGTGGCCGTAGCACTCACTATATTAGTAAGTATTTTTGTCTTCACTTTGGCCTTTAGCAGTTATAACAGTTGTAAAAGTTTTGCCAGCACAAAATGGTGGGACTAGTCAAGAAAATAAAGAACCATAACATCATTGAATAATTTTTTCATCATAATTTAACTGGAGAAAATTTCCCTTTTTTCTCTATCCACTGTATCCCGTTCTACGATGCAAATGAAAGAAACGTCTCTATAAGGTGAATACTTTTTGTTTCATTTGAGAAGAAAAATAGAAATATTACAAATAAGGCACCAAGGGGTGCCACCAATGGACAAAAGGAATGGGATTACCTATTAATCAAAATGTCAAGAAAGTCCCTAGATATTCCATATCATCGAGAGATATCCCTTGAACAGAAAATGAGGGGTCAGAAAGCAGTGGTGACTTACCCTTGAATCTTCTATGGGAAAATTTATTGTGCACTGATTTCCCTCTGCTACTTCTTAACCTAAATGTAGATAGTTTGTGAATTAGCTTGGACCATATAGATTGTTGGACATGCAGGTAAATGAAATATGTCTTTTACTTTGTAAATTCCTACTGAGAAATATTTACCTTTTCTTTCAGTAAAATTGACTTTTTACCCTTCATGTACAAGGTCATTCTCAACTTATTTTGAAAAAGAAAAGGGGTGGGGGTTGGGGGGAAGGTGGGAGGGAGGGAGTAGAAAAGGGAAAATAATCCTTCCACTTACAATGTTTCTTATTGATTCTATTCCATTTCTGTCCTAGTTCTGCTTTCACTTTTAATTTGTGTTCTTATTTTTTCTGAATGCAACTATTGTTTCGAGAATGTTAACCTTGATAGCATAATTCAAGTTCTTTAATTTCTTTTGCCTCTGGCCGTATAGTGAATGGTTTCTTCAATTGAGCTTCTTTTCTGATTAGTAACACGATTGTTACAGCTGGGATGAGCAATGTTTAAGCTGGCATGCGAGTTTTGCATATGAATTGTAAAATTGAAACCAAGTTGAATTTGGTGCAGGACTTAACATTTCTCTTTATAACCTCCGGTAGAGATCCAGGAATAGTTCCTAGAAATTCAAGTCCTCCTGAGTCAGATGAAGTATTGGATATGACTACCCCATCTATGGAGTGGGTCCATGGCAGAACTCCCCACATGAAACTACCCCGGACCAAAGATGTGATTGTAAATGGCCATGCAGTGAAAGTCAAGTACTGTGACACTTGTTTGCTTTACCGCCTGCCCCGTTCTTCTCATTGTTCAATCTGTAACAACTGTGTTCAGCGATTTGATCATCACTGCCCATGGGTTGGTCAGTGTATTGGAATAGTAAGTTTCCTTCATAGGAAAAGTAAGCCATACATCACTATTACTTTCACTAACAAGTTAAAATAAGATATATGCATGTAGAAAAGTAGATCTTGACTGAATGAAGCTTTTATGCACATACGAGGTTGTGTAGGATGTGCCCATGAACAATAAATAAATGGTTTAAGTTATTCCTTTTGTATTTTGTCTCTATTTGTTCTTATCTGATCTTGATGAGATATTGGGTCTAATCTCTTTACTCTTTTATTTTTAAAAAATTTTGATGACTGCTTACATTTCTGACTTTGTAATGCTCTGCACAGCCTTTATATTGGGTCTAATCTCTTTACTCCTTTCTGACGTGGTAATTTGAGTGGCATAAGTTGCAAGCTTGTATAGTAGAATCATTTGTATAATATGAACTGGAAATCGCATTATTCCAACTTTATCTTTTATCTGCTTTTCTAATTGCTCTTGACCTTGTTTGCAACTAACCATGTTCCCCTACTTTGATTTGGTTGCAGCGCAACTACCGGTTCTTCTTCATGTTTATATCGATATCAACTCTGTTGTGTGTATATGTCTTTGTCTTTTCCTGGATCAACATCATTGAAAAAAAGAAAAGTAAACACTTCAGTATTTGGAGGGCCATGTCAGAAGATATCCCCTCAGATTTTCTTATAGTTTACTGCTTCATAGCTGTGTGGTTTGTCGGTGGGCTGACGGTATTTCATTTCTATCTGATTTGCACAAACCAGGTGACTCTCTCACTTCTGAACAAATCCTAGTAGTCTTTTTTTTCAGCAAGCTTCTTGTTTTGTTTTATTAAGAGATAACCTCTATTACAATTGGGGCCACCTAAGAACACTTCAATTTACTATTGGATCTTCAAATGCTTATGTGCATCTATCTTTCATGCAAAGATACCTGTCATTCTTGTAGTATCAGCATTTGCCATATTGCAGACGTTATTAGAATCATCCAACATATTATTAGAGTCTTTAAATTTTTATGTATTGATGGTCGTGACAGATATTTACTGCTCTCGTATTCCAATATTCTGAATGTTGATGACTTTATTAAATTTTTTATTGATATACGAAGTCTATCCTTAGTTTGTCCTTTATAAAGGTAAATGAAGTTTTACGAATTAATTCTTTTTGAACGGCGAGTCTTTATAAAGGTAAATTAAAATTTGAGTGGCAAGTCTTTTGAATTTTAAATCCAAAAATAGCATTTGCATTTAAATAATGAATTTTTAAAACGAATTAGTGATAAATTCCATATTTATTACTCTTTTAGGTAGATATAAGGAATAAGGGAGCAAAATACCCATATTTAGAAATTAACTATTTGGCCATTTATACTATGATGGGGTAAGTAATCAGTGTTTGGCCAGTCATGAATGAGGAAGTCTAACATGTAAGCAAGATATTGTAAGAGAAACAGAAAAGATCACTTAAGGATCATGCAATCACGCCTAGGATAGAGTGAATTCACATTCTCAAAGGATTGAACGATATACCAGTCTATCCTTGACTTACACTACTTGTCTGTGTCTTATGCTTATTTTCTGTTGGCCATTGTGTTGGTGCTTTTGAAACAAAGAATTGCAGCTCAGTGTTCATCATTTTGTTTCTTCAATTCAATAAACTAAATTCCCTAATTATAGTATTTCGCTCCTTATTTTGCTGCAGACTACCTATGAAAACTTTCGTTACCAATATGATAAGAAAGAGAATCCATATAACAGAGGGACTATAGGGAATATCAGTGAAGTTTTTTTCTCGAGAATTCCATCATCATTGAATAAGTTCAGATCATTCATGGAGGAAGAGGGAAAAACAGTAGTCAGAAATGAACCTCTAAATCTCGAGGAGGGTGGAGTAAGCTCAAAGGAAAAGATTGACATTGAGATGGGAAGTAAGCTTATGGAGCACAGTGGATATTCGCTTCCTGAAATTTTGCGAAATTTGGATTATGATGATTTGGAAGATGGTTTGAAGATGAAGGGGGAAGAGGAAACACATCCATTTGATTCGTTTTTGACTGTTGTGCAAGATGAGGAAAAATCTTTGGAATTTCCCTTTATTAGAGATCAGGCAACAAGTTCTATACAATGCTCGGAAGCTGGAGATGATGTTGGAGCATCTGCACGAAGCTCTGCTGGTAAAGATGGTCCCAGAGAATCTATTGCAAAGGATACTATTGCAAGCGGAGAACTTGACGATCGGCTTAACTCCTGTCAATCTATGTCGCCAATTCATGTATAGAAGGTACTTGGCCTGCTGTCTTTCTCTCTAATTTCTCTTCTCGCGATTCTTATAATACTCTGTCTACTAGAAATAGTCACAGATTAGTACCTTTACTGCTGATTGATGAGCAGCTGTATGACAAAATAGATGGATAGGAAAATGAATAAACATTGTTTAAATATATTCACAATTAATACAACTTTTTAGGCTTTTAGCATATGCATATAAAAGGTCTCAAGCATATATAGGAGCAGCATTAGGGTCAAAAAGAACATGCTCCAATATTTTGCTCTTTTGGCTTTGAAGGTTCATGGACACTTTGAAGCAAGCATGGAAGATATAAAACTTTCCTTTTTCTTTTCTTCTGCAACTGCATTAAGGTATAAACATTTTTGGAGTGCGGTTTTCGTGGAGCCTGGGAAGATGTCTGCCCGGAAATCAAGGAATTCCGCGGAGATGCTCTTCGGCTATCTTCACTGTCTCATGTTTGGAGTTCATGTTTGTTTGTAAGTTGCATATGTACAAGTATATGCTGAAAAGTATGTAAGGATTGTCTATAAGGATGAAGATACCTAGATTACCCACTCTTCCCCAAAGAAAAAGAAAATTTTAGTTTTTGAATGGGAAAAAAAAAAAAAAATGAAGTGAAAGCAATGACTTGGTTGTGTAATTCTAGCTGTGTTTTTTTTTTTTGGAATATTCATTTTTTTTTATAAATTTTTCATAATATTTGTTGATTCAGAGTTGTAAATGTTTGTCTGTACACACACACGTATACATACATACATACATATATATATATATTTGCAATATATTTGCCAGGTGAAGTAAACTTACAGGTTTCTTGTCATAGCTTCACCACTTTCAATTATATACATTAGGCTTAAAATGGTTTCCTTCAGAAACTAAATCTGAAAGTATTCATGTACTTTTATATTTAGACTAAGCTGTATTTATACACTTTTAGTTATATAAATATATACACTGTGCTTATACTAATTACATTTTTTAATACGTAGCTGTAAATTACATCATATTTTTCTGAGATATTATTTATTAATTTTATTCTCGTATGTGTACTTTTAAATTTTAATATATTTTCTATAAAATTTTGAGCTCGTAGCAGCCAGTAAAAAAATAATTTTCAATTAATTAATTAATTACATAAAAATAAAAATAAAAATCTTTATTCTAAAATCAAGGGGCGTTCACGTCACAAAAGCCGCACCACAACTTCTCATCCCACTTGGCATTATCGCAAGTCTCGATCAGACAATAACGTAATCATGATCAACCGATGATAAGCTGCCACGTGTCAGTTTTCCACTCAGACTGGTAGATTTCATTGGATGAAATTCAATCAACTGTCAACCAATTAAATTTCCCGCATCTTATCGTTCCCTCGGTTGCTCCCCTTCAAAAGACACTCCCAACTCAGAGCTTTCTTGCTCGAACAATGGCGGCAGAGATGGCCCTCGTAAAACCCATTTCCAAATTCAACACTAACCCCAGATTCGCCAACCCGAGAAGATGTTCAAACCCCAAGTTCACCACCATCAAACTATCGGCCGCCCAGCAACCGCAAGCGGCCGTTTCCACCGACAAGCCGAGCAAGAAAGCGGCAAAGACTGCAATCAAGGAAACCCTATTGACGCCGAGGTTTTACACCACGGACTTCGAAGAAATGGAGACCCTCTTCAACACTGAGATCAATAAGAACCTGAACCAGTCAGAGTTTGAGGCGCTGCTGCAGGAGTTCAAGACGGATTATAACCAGACCCATTTCGTGAGGAACAAGGAGTTCAAAGAGGCTGCTGATAAAATGCAAGGGCCTCTCAGGCAGATCTTCGTTGAGTTCTTGGAGAGGTCCTGCACTGCCGAGTTCTCTGGTTTCCTTCTATACAAGGAGCTTGGAAGGAGGCTCAAGGTATAAATAACTGGAATTCTGAAATTTCTAATTTCTGGGTTGCTTTCTTTTTTCATTGAATATTAATAATAATGCGTATTATTTTGTTTTAGTTTGGTAGCTGCAGGTTTTTTTGTATTCTTGCTTGTTGATCATTTTTAGTCATTTTACTAAAGTTTTCACTTAGAATTCTAATCCTATCAAATAATAACAGCTTACTAGGGTCTGAAACAATAAGAGGTTAATCCAAATACCTCTTAGAGTTAAGAATTCTTCTTAATTTTAGCTTCTGTTTTTATTAGCTTCTTTAAATTATGTACTTTTTCTGGGAATGTTTTATTGTTAAATTTGCTGTTTTGTTTTTTTGTCAAAAGAAAAAAAATTCACTGTTTTGTGGGTTGTTGTCACAGAAAACCAACCCAGTAGTGGCAGAGATTTTCTCTCTAATGTCAAGGGATGAAGCCAGGCATGCTGGGTATGTTATAGCTCACAAATTCCTAATTCTTTGGTATAGACTATAGATTAGTGCTGCTGTGCAGGCCAAAATAATGACCTGGTCTCAATTTGAGCAGGTTTCTGAACAAGGGTTTATCTGATTTTAACTTGGCATTGGACTTGGGATTCCTTACAAAAGCTAGAAAATACACTTTCTTCAAGCCAAAGTTCATTTTCTATGCCACATATCTATCTGAGAAAATTGGATATTGGAGATACATCACCATCTACAGACATCTCAAGGAAAATCCTGAATACCAATGCTATCCCATTTTCAAGTACTTTGAGAACTGGTGCCAGGATGAGAACCGCCATGGCGATTTTTTCTCTGCCCTGCTGAAGGCACAACCACAGTTTCTAAATGATTGGAAGGCGAAGCTCTGGTCCCGATTTTTCTGCCTCTCGGTAATTTTTCAATACTAACCTTTGACTAACTCTTGTTAATATGGCATCAAGATTTGAGATCTTGAATTCATGCCTTCTCTCCAGCGTATTTATTTTGTTTATTTGTACTTATAGTTTAATACGGTATCAAAGCTTGAGATCTCAATTCCAAGCCTTTTCTTTTGCATATTTATTTTATTAATCCGTCTGTTACTACTTTGTAGTCCATAATTGATTTATGGGTCCTGTATGTATCTGTACTTGTAGCCTATAGATGAGTTTTGTTCCCATGAAACCACACTTGCAAATTAACAATGTGTTAATATGCGGTATAAAAAATAAATTGACTCTTTTCTATTGACTTGAACTTGTGGGCAACTTTGTAGATCATAAACTTTTATTTCCCAAATGCTGAGTTGCAGTGGGCTTAAGACACATAAAAGAACAATGATCAAACTGTACATAAATCTTTTTTAGTTTTCTCATAAATTTATATAATTTTCTGCAGGTATACGTGACAATGTACCTTAATGACTGTCAGCGAACTGCTTTCTATGAGGGCATTGGGCTTGACACCAAGGAATTCGACATGCATGTCATCATTGAGGTGAATTTCTGGCTCCATGTTGTTTAGCATTCTGCATAGATTTAACCACAGGCATAATAGGCATTTTGTTGGGTATAAAATGGGATGGCTTAATGGTAGTGAACCACAGCCAGGATTTTCCCAAATGATACCAAAAGAAGAGAGGTTGTACAAGAAATGGTAGAAATACAAAGGTTTTATTAAATATTAAGCTGCTAATCTTTCTATCCATGCAGACAAATCGAACAACAGCCAGGATTTTCCCAGCTGTTTTAGATGTTGAGAATCCAGAGTTCAAGAGGAAGTTGGATCGGATGGTTGAGATTAATGAGAAGCTGGTTGCTGTTGGGGAAAGTGAGGACATTCCCTTTGTGAAAAACCTAAAGAGGATTCCATTAATTGCAGCTTTAGCTTCTGAAATCTTGGCTGCTTATCTAATGCCACCGGTTGAGTCAGGATCTGTTGATTTCGCTGAGTTTGAACCTCAACTTGTCTACTGATAACTCTGTGTAAGTTACCTGTTTATTTTGAGCTTTGATTTCAAGCTAATCACAAGAGTTGAGGATAAAAAACTGAAGAGAATTTTCTTGTAGAGTTCATCTTGTTTTCTATGTAACAACAGAACCCATGGTCTTATGGCAGCTTGATGATTCAATCTCCTTGTTATAATATACGTCTATATATTTGTTGCCAAAATACGTCTATATATTTGTTAATGTACATATATACGCACACATCCACACAGAGAGATGGAAGGAAAAAACAGTGAGAAAATATGAGAAATATACAAATTCAAAGAAGTTTACACCAGAGGATGCATTGTCCTCTTGTATTTATTCATCCGTTGGCTTTGTTAAATATAAATTAAAATAACTACATCTAATGATAAGCATATACAAAGACTAATTTCCCAAGGATACCATAATCAAATCCCATAAACAAAGAATGAATTCCTCTGAACTCCTGTTCTTGCCTTCTCCAGAGCTCACACTTAGGATTTGAAGAAACAGATTCTAAGAAGCATCATATTTTTTCCCCATTATTCTGATTTAGCCTTAAGCTTTGCTTTGTCTTCTGTTAGAGACTTAGTTACCAACTTAAATGTCCAAACTGCCAGCAGTGTTGCCTCTACTGGAGCAAGCCAGTATACGAATATATGCTCCTTCGTTATATGATCCCCGCGAGCAAACGCCCATCCCATCACCTACATGTTTTGCAAACACTTGGTCTGATAATAGACTTCAAATATTTCACAGCAAAACCAAACACAAACAAGGATACATGTAAGTTCTGGAGTGATCAATGACTTTCAATACTTACAGATGCTGGGTTCATGCATCCACCGGTGAGATCAGAGCCAAGAATATGGAGAGCCAACTTTGAGACACTTGAGATCCAAGTCTTCATGAAAAAACTTCCAGGGATTTTCGCTGCAAGCCCCAATGATATCATAACAATTGCAAATGTCAGGAACCCTTCTGTTAATGCACCTTGATGAATGTCGACTTTCAAACGAGGTCCAAGCCCTGCTTCAGGGATGGTCTCAAGAATGAACCTAACCCCAACAATAGATCCAATTACCTAAGAATGAAAAGGAAGAGAGAATATGAATATTCATCTTCATTACATACTTTGGAACAACTAACATGAAAAGAAAGGCAGATATTCTGAGAAAACGATTTTATTGGAGCAGAACATATGTCTCAATATACTTGGTACCTCGATCACCCATCATGAGAACCAAAAATCACATTAATACAAGGGACTGAGCTTGTCAAGCAGCTAAACAGTTTTCATTCCTCGTAATTGACAAGTATTAGAAGGAAAATTTCTTATGTACTATCTATAAATTTGTCCAAGAGTGTAAGATCAAATAGCCAGAGTCCTGTAGGAAAACCAATCAAACCTGCGAGCTTAAATAGAACAGGGTAGGAAAACAGGACTTCTGTAGGGGAACCTAAATAAAACCAGTGGTGTGTTTATACCCAATGATGGTTTTGCCTCTTCTAACCCTGCCACCCTCTGTCAGCGGAAATAATTTTATCTTATAATGAAATAAGCAGAAACAGAAATTATCATAAGGAAAGCTGATTTAACAAATACTACAACAACTAACCATAAACTAAAGTAAAGATAGTGAAAATCAATAAGAAAAGGAAAATCCTCAAATAACAAACAACTAAAGAACAAGAAGCAAATTTAATGAGTTTATATTGTTGCAAGGTCACAGCAATTTTGCAGGGCAATACGCATACTTGTCATCCTAACAAATAACTGAGTAAAGATATTAGTTCTCTGTTAGTTTTTGGGTCTGTGGGGGATTTGTCCAGAATTAGAGATAAATGAGTACATACTTTTAGAGTTCTAATGCTGGGCCACGATTTCTATGGGTGAGATAATTTTGGGTAATTTATTGATGTACTAACCGATCTGTAAATATTTTTGTATATGGGTGGCACTTTCTTGGTGCCATATGCATAATCCACGCACTATTTTTGTCTCAAAAAAACAAAATGGAAACTATTTTGAATGAAAATATAGCATAGTTTTAGTATTATTTTCCAAATTCTGAAAAAAGACAGAAATATAACGAGTTTAAGAAATACTAACCTGAACAGGAATTCTACAACCAAGAGAGAAGAGAAAGCTACTGAAATCCCCGGAAACCGCAGGAGCTAAGACAGTCAAAGGATTGTAAGATGCTCCTTTGCCTACTTTGCCCAAAAACGCAAAGAAGAACATGTTGACGATCGCCATGGCACCCCTGATAATCTCAGCTCTCGGTTCATGCCCCAAGCCCAGAACTCTATGCACGAAGATCTTGATTAAAACACCCGACCATACCCACATGAAGGAGACGATGAAATCGGATATGAGCAAGCGAATTTTAGCCATTGATGCCGCAATTTAGCTTGATTTTCCTATAATGACTTTCTCTCCTCTCCTTCTTCGATTCAAATTTATACCCTTATCTTCTTCCGGTTACCGTCAAAGAACATGTGCCCATATATTTGAAAAACCACGGTGGCATTAAATCGGTACAAAAAAAAAAAAAAAGGAAATGATTGTTGGTGTCACTCGCATCTCAACATTGACCACCATAAAATTATGTAATTATGGAAAAGAAAATCGATTGTCTAGGCTTTCGAAGAAGACGACGAGAACAGACATGGCTTTTTCCAGGAAGGAGAGGAAGGATGCTATCAATATGCTCTGTTATTTTATTCATTCACGGAAAATTATGCTATAATATCTGCATGCTTTTATTTTTAACATAAAAATTTTTACATATTAAGTAATCAATTAATTATTAAGTATATATATGTTTTATGTAATATACATATTAAGATTTAACACGTCATTTTTATTTTTAAAATGTATTATATTATCTTTAGTAAAATATAATAATAAAATTGATATCACAACACAATTTTTTAAAACAAAAATTTATTTTTAATTAATTAAAAAAATATTAACTAATTATATAATAATTATCTATCAATATGATAAATAAGCATCGGTGCAAGTGTTATCCAAAATGATTGAATATGAAGTATCTTTAGAAAACTTTTTAAGTCTGCCGTTAAATTTCGGGATTCAATTCTAGACAAACGATGAAAACTATTAAGCTGAAGTACGGTAGGAACTAAGGGAATTTTCAATGGAGCGGTAAAATGCGTAGAGATCAAAAAGAACACCAACGACGAAAGTACTTTACTAAACCGACACTGACACTGAGAGACGGAAGCTAAGGGAACAAATGGGGATTAGATATCCCAGTAATTCTAGCAGTAAATGATGGATACCAGGTGCTGTATAAGATGCTTTGACATTTTCATATGGAACATGTAATTAAGAATCATCACATTAGAATCACCATGCCAACATATATATAACCTTGTAAAACAGTTCATAATAGTTGAAGTTTGTTTTGATCACTTCAACTGAGCCAGGCATCCCTAGGTAAACAGGCCTTCTGACCCAAGGTCCATTAACAGAAGCACAATCAAATATTTCTCTCATTTAACATTTATACACACAAGGAATGCTCTTAGCTCCAACTTACTAAGACATTCTACCTCTGCAAATTGATCTAATGGAGTGTTAAGGACTCCATTTTAAGTTGAAATGATCGACAGAGTTCCAAATTGTGATGCATTTTAATCCAACCATTATCTCAATCTCTTCAATTGAAGAGAGGATCTGAACAAAGAGTTGCTTTTTAAAATAAAATCACATCAAAGCTAACAGATTTCTAATGCAAATAAAGGGCAATTTGGAGAGAGAGAGAGAGAGAGAGAGAGAGGAAGGTCAAATTTATGCATCGTTTTCCCCTAATTCAAGTACCCATTTTCTCCTAATGCAGCCTTTTCCCCCTCTCCTCCACGTTTCCATCAATTAAAGGACAGAAGTACCCACAAACTTCACAATAATACCATTTCAGTTGAATCCGACATATCATAATCTCTTCAAACTTTTCTTTCTAGCATCCATTTTCTTCTTGTCTGCCTGAAGTTTTGCCAACCCGGCTTCTTTCTGCGTTGTTGCAGCTGCTTGTGGCGGCAGTGTAGTTGTAGATCCTGAATTAGTTGTTGGAACTGCCGCAATGGTGGTCTGGTCCTGACTATGTGCGCCTTTGGTGGCTGCAGCTGGAGGGGCTAACACAGATGAAAGGTTAACTGAGGTGTTACTCTGGTCAACATTGGTCTGATCAACATTTAGTGCTGTAGTTGACTCAGAAATTGCTGCTGTCTTAAACTTTGGTTTTGCTTTGGCATGGATTCCAGTGTACAGCCTGCACAGATTATTCAAAGAAGAGAGCTGAGTGGCGTTTGTACGCAATGAAATGCTGAAGTAGAACCACAATCTAGAAAAAGTTCAATAATCCCGAAAAGCATCTGATCAAATAAATGCAAAATAACTGTTCTCCTTAATAGAGTTTACTTTCACATCGGAGTTCAAGATCACATTAAATGAGATAGGATCTAAAATACTGGAAGTGCAACAAACTAATATAACTTAAAGATTAAAAAGCCAAACATACTCTTATTAGATGCATTTTGCAAAATGGAAGTTTACTTGTTTCTCTCCTATTGAACTTTAGAGCTTGAAATCCAAAGGAAACTCCATCCCACCCCCAGCCCCAACCGGAAAAAAAAAAAGAAAAAGAAAAAGAAAAATATGCCCCAATATAAAACAAAAGCCATACTAGGTGAGAGGTCAACTTTACATACTCCCATGGATTGTGTTCGCATACATCAGAACACTAACCAAAGCAGGTATATGGCTCACCTTGCATGCCTTGCATATTCCTCATAATTTTCAAGCAACATCTTGCCAGCCTGCTCATTCAAAGCTGATTCTGGAAATGGCTCAATCAATAAACACCTGACTACCTGTGATCACAAACCTCAGAATCAAGAAAAAGATAAATCACAGAGTTTTCATTAGAATCAAATGAGACTGATAAACACAAAATTGACAAAAAAAAAAAAGGGAAGAAACTTGTATTGAAAACTCTATGGCATCACTGGAACTTACAGTTAGAACATGTCGCAATCCAAGACTGGGATTCCAATCCTTTTTTAGTGTATTGACACAAATCTCACCATTGTTTGCAATGTTTGGATGGAAAATCTTTGTCAGGAAGTAGCCTAAAACAGCCACGTTCAGATTATCGCGTGTGAAGAATGAAAAACAGATTCCATGGAAATGAGTAGCGTACAATTAAAATGTGATGACTGTAATGGATATTAGTATAACTAGCGTGCAGCTCCTTGGAAAGAATGGGAATCAAACCCATCAAGATACACTTCTTACTCCTACAAAAGCCTGGTTTTGAAGTAGAAGATGATAAAATGCATCAACCAACCTTTTGGAGGGGAGTGTGGAAAGTCATGAGGCAGCAACAACTTCATTCGGAAAACACCATTCTCATAAGGGGTCCCAGCTGCATGGCCAAGGTCAATAAACACTACATCAGTTTGAAATTCCATAGCATGTCCTGAACAAAGATTCCAGCAGAAAAAATTTTCTAAACCTGGGCCTTCAATATCAGCATATATATTTGAAAAGTCATCATCATTTACTCCAACTTTAATGCCCTCAGGAGGAGATTCATCGAGATTTTTCAATTCCTTTGCTAGTTGCTTTATGACATTAGGTGGAAGATTTTCATTTGTTGCCTGGGAAAACAAGGACAACAGTAAGTTAGAAACTCAAAGAATTCATTTTTGGAAAACAAAAATCACCTGCAACAGGCAAGGAAACAAAAGAAGATAAAAAGTATTCCAAGTACACTAGCTAAAATGCAACACATTCACCATACAGAGAAGAATATACATTATTATAGTGCTAGTACATTATTATTTTCTCTCATGACAATCTCAAGCCATAGATACCACTAAAGCCCATGTATAACAAATGCAAGATATTTGCTTCAGTTGCACGGCTGACAACTTAAGGCCTTCCTAATCAAGTCCTACGAACTCCCAACCTCAATGGGTATCCTGGCATCATTATAATTTTATTAACAACATCTCGTGTACCGCGTGTCATCCTAGGCCACAGAAAGAAGTACGATGCTCGAAAGAAAAAGGTTATTCAAGTCTGGAGTAAATACACAAGAAAAATGGCATTGAAGATAAACAGTTAGAAAAAGGTTATTTACCATGGCTATGAAAAGAAGTATGATGCTTGAAAGAATTCCTTCTACTGATAATAAAGCAGAACCTCAGCCAAGGATGTAGAATATCCCCCAACTGCTGATGTTCAGAGAGAATTTATTGAGCCAATACAAAAAAGGACCTGAAAAATTTAAAAAAAAAAAACAATCAAAATTTCATTTTCTGACTTAAGGAAGGAAGTCAGTAATCAGCATATAGACAATACCAACACCAACAAGTGGCTGAACTTATGCAAATAGAAAACATCACACGATTAGAGAGCTCTGGCCTCCCATATAAAGCTATATATAGATTAAGATAACAGCCTAATGAGCTCTTTCTTGAGTTTAATTGTGTCTGTCTGAAGTCATACTAAAAAGGAAGTAAGATTCCCAATTAACAAGAAGAAGAAGGAGGAGGCAAGTCAGGCTCTTAATTGAAGGAGAGCTTGAAGCTATTTCTCCAACATATGCAACATAAAATATATATGCAAAAAAGTTCATCAAGCCTTTCAACCAAGCAAAGTAGCAATAAGAAAATAACCTTTGCGTGCCTTCAACAGTTTCGTTTCATAGAATATAATCTCGGTTACATAAATTACTTATCTAACTTGCTTACCCACAATAACAAAATTCCAAAAGGGAAAACTTTCAAAAACCCAGTAATATAAAATAACACAAAAGAGAACTAGTAAACTAAATTACACCATTATAAATGGAAAACACAAGCGTCAATTCTCTAATAGAGATCATAATTCGTGGGACTTTTAAATAACATTTTTCAAGCATTTCTTTCCCTAGTTTCCACAGCCTTCACATAACATCTTCAAATCCATGAAGATCAAGAAGGAAGGTATATATCATCAAAAAATTCCCGAAGAATACAACAAACTTCTTTTGAGTACAGACCCATTTCATCGCCGCAGATTAATTTTCCGGTGGCCTACAGTTAGCTCACTTACCACTGTTTAAAAATTTCCACTGGTGATTATTCAGAAAAAAAAAACCCTAATCCACAAAATAAAACTTCGATTCAAGTCAAACAACACTAATCAACAGTCAGGACGAGTATAATCGACAATTAAAAATTCACCACCGGCACATCGCCAGAGCACTGGCCGCGATACCATTAAATCGGCACCCTTAACTTCACACAATCTAACTTAAACGAATCAGAATCTAAATAAACAACAGCTTTGGGTCGATTCTCACCTTGGATCGTGATCACCAGGCCTCAAAACCTCAAGTCTGCTTCTCTCTCCTCTTTTCTCTCTCCTCTTTTCTCTCTCTTCCCCCCTCTCTCTCCTCCTGAATTTTTCTCTTTTCTCGACAGATATAAACTAACGAGTGTGATTAATTTGCTAAAACATCCTTTTAATGCATGAAAATTGCAGATTAGTCCCTTTCACACCCTCCCCTGGGGTCCCGAGCCCAAGTTACCGAGGCAATATGTATTCCCGAATACTGAAAGTTCCGTAAAATAATTTTTTTTTTAGTTTAATCTGAATAATTATTTTAAAGTGCGAAATAATTTCTAAATACTTTATAAAAATATTTATTTTAAATATTACTGCGTCCAATTAGTTTAATTTTAAATGCAGTAAATAATTTCAACAATTATGAGAAGTAAAAAAACTTTTTGTAATATTAACCTAAAATGTTCTTATGGTAACTTTTGGTGGGTATATGGAAAATGACATTAACAGCATATATACATATAATGTGATATGACTGGGAAATTCCTAATTGATCATTTTATTTTTTTAAAAAAATTATAAATTTATTAATAAGTAAACTTATTTATTGAAAAATTTTAAATTGAGAAAATAAATAAAATTTTATTATCATGGTAATTCCACATGAAGCATAATTCATTATTATAAATAAATTTAGAGATTTAACAAAAAAATATTTGTAAAATTTTAGAAAATTACAAAAATATGCCCTTAAATTTTGTAAAATATTATAAATAAAACAAATTTATTTTTCTTATAATCAGTAATATATTTCATAATGAATCAAATAAAAAAATAAATATATTAACTATTTAATTAAGTAATAATTGATAAATATAAATATATTAAAATATATATATATATATATCCTAACTAAAAAAAATCATCAAGAAATATTACAGTAGCTTATTATATGCATATATATATATATATTAGATTCTCAATATATATTTGATGTATCTCTTATAAATTAATCAATTATTAAGTTTCAAATTAAAATTTAAAAGTCAATGAATAATAATTGAGAAATTTTATTTAATTCAAATTATTAGAAAATAAAAAATATATTTATAATATAATAATAGTGTATTACTATTATGATACCATATACATAATAAATTAACGCTTGTTTTTTTTATTCCGCTGAAATATTTGGTCACCCATTAAAAAAATAAAAATTTAATTGAAAATAAATAAAGCCAGGGCTAAATAATAATTAATAAATTATAAGTAGATATATATAAAAAAATAAAATAAAATAAAAAAGGAAAGGTTGGTGAGAGTTCAAGTCCCAAGTTTGTCGGGACATGGGGACGCTTCCATTTTTTTTTTTTGAATTTGCCGACACGACAACCTGGCGGTGACCGTTGGAGTGTCCTCTTCTTTTCTTCTCCGCTGCTAGCCGTTGCCGGTGCCAGCTTCTTTTTCCCAGTTTAAAAACTTCAAACCACTTTTTCTAAAATATTTTGGAAAATCATACACCTAATCACCACAGCCTTCTCAATCTGATTTTAATTTTATTTTTTAATTAACAATGGTGGTTTTGTTATAAAATAAAGTTTTTTTTTTTTTTAGTTCTTGGAATAAATTATAATACAAAAGTTAAATAAAAATAAAAAATTACATACTTTTTTATTTTAAAATTTAAATAAATTTTGAGGATTAATTAATTTTTGAGTATTTATTTATTTATTTATATTTAAATAACCTATTTTTTGATAGAAACTCCTCTACCATAGCCATTTTTTAATTTCATATAAACTCGAATTTCTAAAACGCTAAAATTAAACCCATTTCCAGCTTAATAATCCCATCAATGCCCAAAACAGTTTAAATCTCTTTTTTTCAATCTTACGCAACCAAAGCAAGAAATCCAACCCAATCCAAGCCCATTTAGTTGAGGCCCAAAGAAACAAATGGGCCCCAATAGGCCCAATAGGCCCAATACTCTAAGATGGAAAACGGCGTCATTTTGGGAGTGCGCTCTTTTTGGTGGCCTTCAGTCTTCACGTTGACGAAAGTAGAGAGTTATTAAGAGTTATTTAGAGATTATAACATAGGAATATGCCCGTGGAGATTTGACTTGAAATATTCTGGAAGTAGTAATCTCTGATATGTGGCAATGGAGGAATCTTTGAAGACATCTTACTTGTTCCTTTTTATTATTCTATTTGTATTCAATCTCATGGGTATGGCGTTTAAATGCATCCTGACATGCTGGAACTTATGCTAAAAGCAACAAGAAGGACGAAGTATAAGCTACAAGGAATCGTAATTCGTCTGATAATGCATCAAACAAGAATGTTTTGGTTGATTATTGTCGGTTCATTACATATTAATGGTGTTGAATTACAATCTTGAATACAGTAACTGCTACCTCCAAACCCAGTTTATAGAAGTTCGCATCTCCTTTCTTCTTCCTCTTCTCGCTGCTTCCTGGTATGGGCCTTACGTTTCTCGTTCTCCATACCGAATGTACCAACACCAAAAAATAAGTGAACCCAGATTCTAGAAATGCCAGATCAAAAACCAGAGCTCTCGTTCTTCTCCCTTTCCTTCTCCTTCTCCTTTGTCTGATTCTTTTTCAAGAGTTTCGGCCGTGGCTTGACCGGCTTCAAAAACCCAGCCTGCAATCTCACCATCTCCCTCAAAACCTCAATCAGCTTCCTCTCGATCTCCATGCCGTCAGGCTCAACCGCTCTCAAGCACCTGGCGACAGCTTCCAGTGTGCTAACGCACCCGCCAAAAGGCTCCTTCCTTAGCAGCAACTCGGAGTCGTAGATGCTCCCGCCGCCAATGGTCTCGTCAAAGCCTGTGTCCAAACAGACCCTTAAAGCCCCGATACTCCTTAAGACCCCCTCGCTTGCCCTCACCATCTCCTTCGCGTGCTTCCAGGTGGCATCGAAGACGATTAAGGTCAGAGGGGCGGCTTCGCGATTGATTGGCACGAGGGATTGGAGGTTGGATAGTGTAACGGCGGGTGAGGAAGGAGATGGCGGGAAGAGGTAGATGGCACGAGGAGATTGGTCGTTCTCGTAATTTGGGAAGTGAGCCGGCAGAAGGCGGCGGCCGGGCACGGTGGTGACGTGGAGGAGGGATTTGGCGAGGAGAGGAGTCGTGTTGAGCTTGTGCTGAGATTCGTGCGGATGGTGGAGGATTATTATCTTGGTCCTCGTTGGGAGCGCTGCCGCCGGGATGACGTGGCAGAGGCACACTGTCTGGGGCCGGTCACATTTGCAGCAGATTTGGCGACGACGCTGGGGCGGCGGCGGCGAGCTGGCGGGTTGTTTTGGCTCCATCTGTGAATGGAGACAGGATGAGATGAGCACTTGGGCAGGAAAACAGTTAAGGATGCTGAAACGGCGTCGTGTCTGTCTTGGTTGCTATTTACAGTATCCGTATTCCCTCGCTTCTTTCATTTATCCAATCGTAGTATGTTTCAAACGACGACGTTTAGGGTGTGAAAATCCCCTCCCTCCCGCTGCATAAAAACGTCCAACTCCTGTGACTGATCATACCAGAGAAACAGCAGATCGAGTGAGAAACGGTGAGATTCTGGAGCTAAAGCAGCCATGGACATCTCTCGGTTACAGCACACCCCCTTTTACTGGTACCTTTTATTTTCTGATTCTTATTGGATAAACACAGATTATCTCTCTCTTCGCCTGTTTTTTCAAAATTTCAAAAGGTTCACCTTTTGCGTTTCATTTGTTGGGAATTTCCAGGTGTTATACGATGATGATCACATAAGAAGTTTATTAGTGATTTTCCTGATTCTGTTCTTTTGCATCAGAACGGTGACGTTCCTAGGCTGTTTTCCCTTCCGTTCTTTATTATGAACTTTCTGTCTGAGAAAACCAAGAAAGATACTTGCTACCTATACCTTCATTAGCTTCCCCTAGTTGATTCTTCAATAATCTAAAGCCATTCTGTTCCCTTGATTGTTGTTTGTTCGGTTGCTTTTGGCTTATTCAGCTAACAGCATCTCTATCTGATACAAATTTGCATTACAAAAACTTGACTGGAATGTTTGAATATTTAGAACATGTTATATGTGTTAATAGACTAAATCATAACCACTTTGGAATTCTAGATGTCTTTTCCGAATTCCAATTTTATTTAGTAGAAATATGAATACGATATAGATGCCATAGAGTTGAATGAAATAGTTTTTGAATATTAAGTTAATTTTATATCTAATTATTGAGCTGAGAAGTCTGAACAAAATAGACTTGAATCAATCAGCATCGCTGTAATTTTTATGCCTTTTTTTCTTCAAGGTTCAAAATTATTCTTTGTGATTATCAAATTTACTAACCATTTTTTATGTTATTTATAGCGAAGAGAATGTATACTTGCTATGCAAGGAATTGTGCACTAATGGGACAGCAGATGCTACAGGATCTGACCTTTTCGTTGCTTTCATTTCAAACGAGAAGAAACAGGCACATTAATCGTTATTTCAGTCTTTTGTTTCTGCATTCTGCTTTAATTGTTGTAGGATCAATATGTTTATCATTATTTGAGATGATTTCTGATTACAAGTTACTTGTGAGTATGCCACGAATATTTGTTGAGCTGAGACACGGTTATACTGAGTAGTTACATAGACAATCTTGGTTTTCTTTTTTGGCATATTATGTCTTGGTTGTGTGGCCCTCAAATTTTGTTTGGTCAAGCATGGTAGAAATTGACTTGGACAAGAGGATTTTCTTTTTGGTTTATACTTAAAAAAATGTGAAATGATTCTTATTCTGGTTGGTTGTTGATCTGATGTTGGTTCTTATTTGGTCCTTTTAACTACTAGGATCTAAATTTCAAAAAAAAAAAAGAAAAAAAAAAGCTACTAGGATTCAAATGCTACTTTTCTCAATGATTACCTTGCAAAGCCTGAGATTTCTAAGCTGCAACATGATTGTAGAGAATTACTTTCTTCTTTCCAGCTTTCCCTGATAGTGAAAGTGTTCTTGATGTTTGTCCTCACACTTGGAATTAATGTTCTCAAGGTCCCTTTATGGAATCAGAAGGCTAGCAAGAGAGCAGATGGTGCTATTCTCTGGGACTATCATGTCATTTGTGTTCAGGTGATGGTATTATTGAATTTTAGTTATAATGATTATATGCTTTCCCATCTGTCAGCTTTCAAGATTTTGAAACTGTATTGGATTTCGTAGCGGAAAAACAACGGTAGTCCTCATTTAGTGTGGGATTTGGACTCGGCTCTCCCCTTTCCCTCTCCTTTGGCTTCTTATGTATCTGAAACCATTCGGCCATCTTTTCAGCTCTTTTCTGAGTATCAGAGGTAATGGCTTGTCTGTTGTACTACAATTATAAGTAATTGTAAGAAATTAAATTAAACTAAATGCAGCTGACATGTGGTATGATTTTTGCAAAGATCTTGGCTCATATTTTTACTGGTTGAGCTTGCTAATAAGTACCATTTCACATCGAACTAGACTTAGATAGTTCTCACCTGTAAAAACATTTAGAACACTTGTTGGCTGAGTAGAACCTGACAGTTTTCTTGAAATTCTCTAATATGGAAAAGTGCTGAATTTTGTTATGGCTTATCTTTTGCTCTTTCACTTTGATTTAATTGCTGAGTAGATCCTGACAGTTTTCGGAATGTTAGATGAGCAATTTTTTCAGTGTGTTTTCATTTGTTCTTATGTTCATATGTGAACAGTTTATTTACACGTTTTGGGCCTGTTGCATTGCTGCCTCATTGTTTGCTGCCCTTCTATGAGAAAATTGAGTACGGCACTATCTTCCTTGTCTCTCGCCTTATGAAATCTTTCCTATCGACAATTAGGTGACTTTTCATGACAGAACTTAATTTGGTTCAACCTTTGTAAGCCCTACTCCAGACTTCAGGACTTGTCTGCATGAATTTCTTCCCGAGGAATAATGACATACTCTGGATCTTTTGAGGACCCTCCTTCAATAATCATGTTTCCAGGATCATGCTGAGTGCAGCCATCCAAGGGGTTGGTTACTAAATGCTGCCACACCAGTGCAGCTAGCTAGCTAACGGGGATAGTTTGTCTCCTCATTGAGTAGCTGTATTTGCAAGGAATCGCATATTCTGAATGTCGGATTTTTTAACATATTTTGGCTTACAGGTTTTTCCGCATTGTGCATGCTCCGGTGTTTCTTCGTTGCTTTGCCTCTGATAGGAGACACATGAAAGATTCTGTTGGGAACTGGATTGCAGAACCTCCGGCATATGAACCCATTGTTGCTGAAGGTAATAAAATTATGTTTGGTTTAATCTATATTCTATTAGTAAGTCTTAACTATTTGATATTTAAAATTTAGTCATGCTTTACATATCTGATACATAATCAAATCGATTGAAGTCATATTTTCAATTTTAAAAGTATAAATCTATATTCTGATTTATTAAAAAAATCACAAAACACTTAAATTGAATAATATTTTTATTCTATAAAATTGAAATTTGAATAAACTCGAACTACGTGATATAAAGAGCCATCCAAAAAGTTTTCCTGCCAATCGAAAACTTAGTATCTTGTCAACCATTGAAACAAATTTGTGCACTTGATTTTTTATAAATCTGAAGCCATGAGTGTGTATCTTAAGGTTTCCAACTGAAATACTTGTGCTGTTTTCCTGTACTGCTTTGTGCAGATGGAACCGTGCATAACTTGAATGAGTACATTGAGATTCAGGCCTCCGATGCGGCAAAAGAATTTCAAGGTGATCTAATGAACGACGTTAACCAAAAATTTGGTGTTCTGATAAACGAGAATCAGATCGAGGAATTCTTTTCCAAACTTTCGTGATTTGGAGATTCTTGTTGTAAACACTAGATGAACATATTAAGATTCAGAAACCAAATTACTTTCTTTGTGCTGTACATGTTCATTTGATGATTGATTCTTCTTTATCCTTTCTTCAATTGATGCATCATTTCTGGAAATGTGCAGTAATCAATTATACCGGTGGTTCAGAAATTTATTGGGGTTACATGTACTTCACCAAAACATTCAAATTTGGTGTACAACAACAGCTAGAATGCTTCTGCATTGTTCCTCAATTTTCAGAAACAAATTTATATAATTTAGAAGAGTGAATTCAAATGGGATAATATGATGGACTAAATAATTACTCACATCAACAGCTTAAATAAGCTACCTATTGCAGAAATTTCTGGCAAAACATTCAAAATTTGCCAATGCAACGGTGATCCGCGCACCACTTGCATCTTTTATTTCCTATTTCGACAATAATTGGACAAAATGATAGAACTCTTTCCATTACCTATCGTAACCATGATGGACCTGTATTAGTCCTACAATCACTTCTATTAGTTACGCTAATCAATGCAAAGCAAGGCTTAATACCATCCGGTACTCTCCAATCACGAATTTTAGCTGCTGTTGTTTTACACCTGAGTTTCTCGATGAAACCATCTGCCAGAGCAGGCAGACAAGCTTGCCTCAGACACCAGATATTGTCATAACCCAAATGAAATGTATAACTGCTGGAATAAGCAAGTCTCTTTAGTCCTCGTCGTCGCAATCAGAAAGCAAGCAATCTTCTATTTTCTCCCTGAAAGCAGGGGGTGATATATGTTAAAAGATTTGAGGTGACAAAAGCAATGTTCAGCTTATGTTTTGGATTTGAATATGGAGAGTAAAATGGATAAGGTTGGGAAGAGAACAGTATCCAACTTCTATTTCCAGTTCTAGCTAGGTGATTTTCTCCCAATTGGGAATCAGAAATCTATCTTCAAAGACTTCAAGGCAAGGGAAAATTTGGTGTAATGATGAATTGAAAATGGAAGTTATAATCAAATTTTAAACATCCAGAATACTCCACTAACTGAGGTAAAACAATAGAATATAAATTAAGGACATACATGGTAGGAGATAATACTGGTTAGACCGTAATTAGGCCTCTTCATAAGAAATGCAAGCTCTTGTACTTACAACTAGGTGGCCTTTACTCAAAAATCAAAACTGACATCCTCCTTACTTTTATCCTAATGGTGTTTTAATATCCAATATGACAACTCTCTTTTGTACAAAAGGAAAGTTCCTGATATAGATGGATGCCAACTGCCTAGTGCAAGTTAACATTAAGACATGCAAGTAAATAGCATTAGTGGTAAATTTAGCACTCACCTTAGCAAACTTAGATTATGACTCTTGTCAAGTTTCACTGTGGCAATTAATGGCTGTGGTAGAAGTGAATAGAAGTGCTCCATTGATGATGGATCCTTGGGAAGTATCTGAAACTCGCAACTGGAACAACAGGCAACAGCAAAAATATCACTTTGGCAATCCGCAGGTCTTATTGAACTTGTCAAGTCTGATTTATTGAGTGGACTATAGCACATTGGGCAAAACGACTCCGAGGAAATAGATTCCTTGGGCATGAGGTTGAATCTCTTTTGCCGCCTTCGTGTTGCCAAGGGAACATTAGAATCATTGATTTCGGGTATTTTGTTGAAGTGAAATGGAGTAAGCTTTCCAGCCGTTCGTACAATGGTGCACTCTCGAGAAGGATTTTCTTGCTGAGAAACAAATATTGTCAAAGGGATAGGTAATCACCTTCTGTTTAAGATGAATGCAAAAAATTGGAGAAATTGATCATTCCTAACAGGCAACTAAAAAGAAATGACAAGCTTCAAGTATATTATATATTCACTGCACTGCTACATTCAAACTCTAGAACAGTCTTTTGATCTACTCTTAAAAAGCTATTGGATCTACTTCTACATCTCTCATTATAGAAACCTTCAAACAAATTGCATATTTAGTTTTGTGATAATAAAGGTGAGTCTTAGGTCTTCAACCTCCAAACCCTCCCAGCCCCAAGGAACAAGTGATGTGCTGCTATAAGCACATGATAATAACTTGAGCATTGATTAGAAATTGTTGTCCCCAAAAAGTACCAAGCAAAATAAGATAAAATGAAAAGTCGGATAATGGATACAAGACTTCAGAAGCCCAAATTTCACCTGTAATATTTTCACGAATGACGAAACCAAGCTATTAATGCCAGAAGAAAGATCATCATGAAAGTCCACAATCTTTAGACTGCCCTGCCAAAATGAGGTTGACACTGTCATTCAGCAGCAGACAAAATGACTTATGTCTTATATGTTCCTCAAGAGTATACAAACATAAATGATTTAGAACTGATGTACAAACCCATCAAGATGACAAAGCAATTTGAGCTCTTGTGCAAGGCAATCATGAAGAGGAAGCACCACAGGTATATCCCAACGTGCATCAACATACTGAATATCAGCTGGTAAAGAATAGCCTTGACCCTGTTGAGAGAAGAACTACTTATATTTGGTACTTTGTCAATCAGAACAACATGTGTCTATTCATGTGTGGATGCATGCATTTTCATGTGTCCAAAAAGGAATTTTTGGCACATAAACGTGGTGCCTAACAATATGTATTAACAAATGAAAGAGCCATTAAATCAGATCAAGCCCCTCCATTTTGCAATGAAATTTTTATGTATTATAGAAAGTCGTCTTATTGGTTGCTTTTCAACTAGTCACCACACTGCATTGCCAATTACAATCACTTCATGATCTGTTTCCCATGGGATAAAGACATTGAGAACTCCTCTTGAAGAGGGGGCTTATGGAACCTTCCTCTTGGACCCCCTAAATATTCCCTCAATCTCTTATTTTGAAAGTATAGGGTTGTATAATAATTGAACCACTCAATCAATGCAAGCTAAAATTTCAGTGCGATATTGGGTAGAGTTGCATTGTGTTGCCAGTAAAGCTAATC